TCAAAATTTTTCTTTTTTTTTAAACTTTGTTTTTCTTTCGAGATTAAAAAACAAAACAAATTCCAAAAATGAATGAGAATGAATGAATGAGAATGAATTGGAATGAATGAATTATTTACTATGAATTTTTTTTAAAACATTTTCCGAATTTTTTCACAAATAAAAAATGAGTTTTTTTTCTTTTTCTTTCCCCACCCCGCCGCCACCCCTTTCCTACCCCCTACAACGTGTTCCTTTTCTCTCTTTTTAACTTTTTATTTTTCAGCCACGATCTCATCTTCGTCTCTTCTTCTGCCACGTTTCCCGGAAGAAAACAAAACAAAAAAATCAAAAATCGATGAAATTATGATTAATGACTTTTTTTTTTCCCGCCACAACCAAAAATCTTCTGCTTTTTTTAAAATTTAACGCGTGTTTAATAATTGTTTAAATGTTATAATAAATCCTTATCATTTATCACTGATAAACGTCACAAATCGAAAAATCGATAAAAACAATATATAATCGAATTAAAAAAAAAAAATTCCGAGCCGGATTAAAATCCAACCGTTAAATTATTATTATCATCATTTCGTCAGACAAAATTTTTTTTATCTATTTCCGGTTTTAAAAATTAAAAAATACTTATCATCATTCAAATCGTTCCAGAAACTGCTGGAATCAGATAACAAATAATCAAATTCGATTTTTTTGGCTTCATTTTTTATTTTTTAATAATTTATTTATTTATTCATTGAATCGATTCATCGATATATCGATTACCCTTTCGAAACTCGAAAATAAAAATTGTAATAATGACGGACGGACGAGCGGACGGGCAGTCAGTCAGTCAATCAATCAGTCAGTCAAAATCTATTCATCGGCTTTATTTTGATATGTACTCAAATATAATGAGGTAGAATAGAAAAAAAAAAGTATCAAAAATCGTTCTTTTTCTTTCTCTCTCTCTTTAGGGTTCTTATCGAATTTCTCACCATTTTTTTTTCACCTCCATTCCCTCCTCCCAAGAGGGGAATCTCATCTACATTCTTTTTTCTCTTTTCCGTTAATAATGTAAAAAAAAAGAGAAAGAGGGAGGGAGAAAGGGGGAAAAAGAAAAGGTAATAATGAATTCTGAGAAGAAAAGTTTGTCAAAGAAATTTCAATGTTCTTCAAATTAAATTCATTAATGTATTCAAATTATCATCATCATCATCATTATTATTATTATTTTTTTTTTGTTAAAAAAATTAAAAATGTCTAGTCAGATTTCAGAAGAAGGAAAAGAGTAAAAAAAAAAAAAAAACAAAAAAAAAAGGAAAAAATCATAATAATAAGGTAGAGAGAAAAAAAAGAGAGGGAGAAAGAGGGGGGGGAGGAGGAAGAAGAAGAAGGAAAGGGAAAGAGGAAAAGAAAAAAAAAATTTTAAATCTAAAACCACGATAATCCTTTTCCACTTCTTTTTTTTTTTAACCTTTCTTACGTTCTTTAATAATAATTACGTTTGAGTTCAAAAAAAAAAAAAAAAAAGTTTTAAATCACCCAAAATTGTTTTTTTTCTTTTTCTCCTTCCCCTCCCCCTTCCTCCTCTCTTTCCTTACCCCCCAATTTATTTTCTTTTTTTTCTCCAATTATTTTCCAGAAATCAAAAAAAAAAAAAAAAAAAGAAATAAGAAATAAAAAAAAGCACCATAATTTACGTTTTGAAAAAGAAAAAAATTTTAAACCGTGAGACTTATTTTGAAAACACAAAAAAAAAATAAATCTAGAGAGAGAAAGAGAAAGAGTGAGAGTGAGAGAGAGAGAGAGAAAGAAAATTTTTTTGCGTCATTCCAGTCACATCAACACGCATGAAAGGATTTCTATGCAATTTCAATTTATTATATTATTGCAATTCCAGAAGGAAGGAAGGAAGAAAAAAATTTTTTCCAGTCAAAAATAAACTAAAAAAAAAAAATTTCAACGGAATTTAAATTTAAACGAATAAGAAAAAGGATTATTCCTGGAGAAAATTCCTGGAGAAAAAAAAAAATTTTTTTTTTTTTTTACTTCTTCCAAAAGTCGTGACATTTTTATGAAATTTACGTGAGTCGCGATATATATACAAATAAATCAATGTTAAAAATAATTCCGGATGTTTATCCGTAATTTATTTATCGAATGAATGATTGATTGATTGATTGAATGATTTAATGAAAGACAAAAAAAAGTTTACACCGATGGTACTAAATAAACAACAAAAAAAACTACAAGAAAAACTAAAAAAAAAAAAAAATTTAATTTTTTTAATGGGTTTCGAATTAACTTCCGGTTGTTTTCGATTTATTTTCATTTCGGAAAAGAAAAAAAGTAAAACGGAAGAAGAGTGAGAAAAGAAAAAGTATTTCCGGTAAGTACTACGTAAGTAATAAATTTATTTTTTTCACGTTACGTAAACTTGATTTTTTTTCCTTTTTCTTTCTTTTTTCCTTTGAATATACATTTTTTTAAAAAAAACCTTATCCGCTACATTTACTTCCGTTTCCTTCATAAAAAAAAACGTTTTGTTTCCTTTTACTTTAAATTTTCCAAAAAAAAAAATCGTCGAAAAATTTTTTTATTTTTCTTCCAAGTTATAATAAAAGAAAAGGAAAGAAAAAAATTCATTCGATTGCCAAAAGGTTTCAAAAAAAAAAAAAAAGGAAAAAAGGAAAATTTGATTAAATGCCACGCGAAAACAAAAAAAAAAAAAAAAAAAATTAAGTAATTATGAAAGTAATTATGTAGAAGATTTTCCTTTCCTTTCCTTTCCTTTCTTTTCTTTTCTTTTCTTTTTCTTTTTAATTTCATAGTCGATTAGCTTTTTAATTGCCGACTTTGTTTCAATAATAAGAAAAATTATCATTATTATTATTATCATCATCACCGATAAATTTCTTTTTTTTTTTAGAAAAAATTTCGCGAAGCCTTTTTTTTTCTTTTTTGTCAATTTCATTCCTTTTTGTTTTCTTTATTATTATTATTATTATTATTATTATTATTATCAAATGACAATGGTAAGAAAATTTATTAGATGAATTTTTTTTTAATTATAATTAATTATCGAATCATTTTTGATAAGAGTGAGTGACGAATTAGGAGGTTTTAAAATTATTGAAAAAAACAAGAAAGTCCGCCGCCATTTTTTTTTCCTTTTTAGTTTCCGTTTTTACCAAAACGAAATTCAAATTTCCTGTTTTTTTTTTTTTTTTTTTTGTATCGTAATAAAACATTGCGTGTCGTCGTCGTCGTCGTCGTTACGGCAATTTCATTTTCTTCCTTTTATACAAAAAAAAAAGAAGCGACTTTTAATAAAAAAAAAAAAAAAAAATCTTTTTATTTTTCACATGAGAAAACAAAGTAAACATTTTTTTAAAGGAACTAATACTCGACTGAAAGCTTATATGTATATATATATATATATATATATATATATATATATATATATATATATATATATATATATATATATATATATATAATAAAAATAAAATAAAAAACATAAAATAAAAAAACTTTGAAAAAATTCACGCAAAAAAAAAGAAAAAATAAATATGGCGGACGGACGAAAAAATTAAAAACTTTTTTATTATTTTTTTTTCAAGCGTCTCCTCCTCTCTCCCTCTCTCCCCCTCTTTCTCTCTCAATAATTTTCTTTTCCTTCTGAATAAAACGTACGTAATTAATTTTTTACATTACGTAATTAATTAATTAATTAATTTTCCTTACAAAAAAAAAACGCGATCATTTTATTTTGGAAAATAGTCATTAAGCGCGCGAAAATATAAACGTAAAAATTTTTAAAATTAATTCGGGAATTTAACGTAACGCTGCGCCACCGTAGACGGCAACGAGACGAACGGATTTATTTTTAATCACGTTTAATTTAAATGTAACTAATGTGATGCACACACACACTCGCAGCTTTTTGTCTTTTTTTTTTTTAAATATTATTTTGGCAAAAGGGATTCTATATATATCTCATCATCATTATTATTTAAATAAAGGGAAAAGGAAGAAGAAAAAAATTTACGTTTGAAAAATTATTATTATTATTAAATAATATTTCACGCCAATAAAAAAAAAAAAAAAAGTTTTTTTTTACATATATAAAAATGTTTTACGATTTGTACGTGTAAGTAGTGAATGTACTACACGTACGACTTTTACGTGTAACGAAAATTTCCGCCATTTTGAAAAAAATATAACGAATCCCATTTTTTCTATTTCTCTCTCTCTCTTCTCACTTTTCACGATTACGATATTTAAAACCGAGTAGGATTGAAAAAAAAACTCAACGGGTTCACACATTAATATCGTACAATTTATATTTTTCTAGAAAAAAAAAAAACGGTTTGAGAGGGGCGAGGGAGAGGGGAAAAAGATTAAAAAATTTTTTTTTTTGAGGCAACGAAAACCTTTTCGCACCATCAGTTTAAAAATGTAAAGAAAATATTTTAAATTGAAGATCAATATGGCCGACGACGACGACGACGACGACGTAAATTGGTTTTTTTTACCCATTAATGGAAAAAATAAATTTTATGTATTTTTACAAAAAAAAAAAAAAATTTTTTTTTTTTTCCCAATCAATTTCGGAAGTTAAAAAAAAAACAAAATGGCGTCGGTTTTTCTTCATCATCATCATCATCATTTTTTTTTTTTTTCGAAAAAAAATTTATTTTAATATCGAATTGAAAATATTTACACTGATATTCATTTCCCGTCTCGTGGAGAGAAATTCACAAAAAAAAAAAATTCGATTCGAAATTCTATACCTCGATAATAATAATAATAATGATAATAATGATGATTTTAAATTTTGAAATGTTAACGTTCGGGTGTGATAATTAAAATAATTAAAGTATAAAAAAAAAAAAAAAAAAAACGGAAACGAATCCGTTCGAGCGTACATCGAATCCGTACCGGAAATATATATAAAAAGGAAATTTTCCAAAACAGGAAATCGGAATTAATTAATAAAAAATAAAAAAATAACTTACGTAATTGAAAGCTAAATCCGGGTGATTCGTTTGAATGCCATCATCCAATATGGATATGACTACACCTTTTCCGGTGTATCCTTTTTGCCATGCAGGTCCGACGTTCATGTCGTATCCATCTTTGGCACCGCCGTTCTGTTAACAAAAATAATAATAATAATAATGATAAAACCTGCGAATACGTTTTATTAAGATATAAAATATTTAATTCCCAATGTAATATGTGTGCGTGTATACATTCGAGTTAAGAAAACTTGATTTTCTTTTTTTTTGATTAAACACAAACATTTGAAAATTTAGACAAAATAATAACTTTTGGGGTTTTATATCGTCCCAATGCTATTTAAACTTTTTCCTCTTCTTTATTCCATTCCTTTGATTTCTTACGTCAAATAATAATAATAATAATAATAATAATAATAATAATAATAATAATAACATCTCCGGTATTGTGTATTTTTTCTTTTTTCTTATTTTAAATTTTCTCATTTTTTTATATTATTATTATTTATTACACCGTCGTAATATTTCCGGGATAAGATTTTTTTTCATTTTTACGACTTGAAAAGGAGATGAATCATAATTCGCAATGAAAATCAAAGGAAAAAATTATAATAATAATAATTAATTTGATAAAAAAAGAAGAAGAAGGAAAAGGGTAAAATTAAAACACTCGAGTTGATTTGTTAACGGTTTAAAAAAAAAAAAAAAACATTTGACTGGATTTCGGAGTGCGAGGAGCGAGGGGGCGGCTTGGGGGGTGAGGATGGGAAAGGGGGGGCGAAAAAAATTTATTTCACACTCGACTGTCAGAAAAATAAACGAAAAATGTTTCCGAATCCCCCCTCCCAAAAAAAGAGAAATTCGATCCATTCTTTGCCGGAAAATTTTTTTTTTTTATTTACGCAAGAGCAGGAAAAATTAGGTATTGTCATTAAAAAACGACAGGAGCGGGGGAAAATTCAACAGGAGAGAGGGGAAAAACTCAACAGAAGCGAAAATAAACCCGTAAAGATAAGGAGAGAGAGAAAGAGAGAGAGGAAACCCGTTAAATATGCTCGCGATTAATATTTTTATTTTTTCGCTCCAGCGTTTTTTTTTGTTTCTTTTATTTTTCTCGTTTCACCGTAGAAAACAGAGTAAATAATAATAATAATAATAATAATAATAATAATAATAATAATAATAATAATAATAATAATAATAATAATAATAATAATAATAATTTTTTAAATTAATAATTTCAAAGTTTAATAATTTTAAATAAAGAGAAAGAAAAATAAAAAAAAATTAACTCCGAGTAATAATTACATTTTGTCAAACGGGTGACAGGTTGGTGGGTGAGTGAGTGCGACAGGGAAATTATTTCCCTACACATTTTCACTTCCCTTAATTTTTTTCCCCTCCCCTTTTCCCTTTCGCCACGTTTCCGTTCTTCTACGTCAATTATTTGTTTATTATTATTTTTTTTTTTTCAGTCATTTATTAATTTTATCGTTTTCCGATTCGTTTCCCGGCGGTAGGAAAATAAAAGAGAAAAAAAAAAAAATTTAATGAATTAATTAATTAATTAATTAATAACGAGAAGGACGACGATAATGATAATAATAATAATAAATTTTTTTGTTTCTTTTTTGATTTATATAAACGTTGCGGGTAATTAAATAATTTGCGTGTCGCGCAAAAAAAAAATTTTTCGGCAAATACATAAATAAATAAATAAATAAGTCGAAATACGTTATTAAGTTAAGACTTAATAAATAAATTTATTGGAGGGGGGAAAAAAAAAGTATAAAACAAACATAAAAATTTCTTTTTAAATGGTTTTTTTATGTTAAGTCAAAAAAAAAAAAAAAAAAAAAATATATATATATATATATATATATATATATATATATATATATATATATATATAAATAGAACGTGATAAGTTTTACTTTCTTTCTTTTCCTTTTTTCCTTTTTTTCCTTTTTTTTTCTTTCCTTTTTTTTTTCTTATTATTTGTCATTGTACGAGGCGTAAATGGAAAATAATAAAATAACGTGATTTGAATCGTTGTAAAATATGAGAAATCGTTTTTAAAAAAGAAAAAAATTGTTTTTCAACGTTTTATACACGCGCGAGTATGTGAGTTGTCAAAGGAAAATTTTTGTTATGTTACCTTTGAAAAATGATTATGATGATCGATTGAAGTTCTTTATAATTTTTTTTTCGTTTTTAGAATTCTTTTAGTTAAAATGCGTAAGAATTTAAATATTTTGACGGGGAGGGGGTTAGGAGAAGAGAGAAAAGGAGAAAAGAGAGAGAGGAAAAGAAAAGAGGGGAGAAGAGGAGAGGAGAGAGAGAATTTTTTTTTATAAAAAAAAAATATATATATATATATATATAAATTAAAAATCGGGGCACGTTCAAACGACAATAAATTTTTTTCCTTTTTTTTTTCCAATATGAAAACCTTTTCCGACCGCTACCCCCGCTTTCCTCTACCGCCTCATGGAATCTTTTACATCGTCGTCGTCGTCGTCGTCCTCTTCAACGCAATAAAAACGAAAAAGGAAAATTTTCCAGCTTCGTCAAATTTTTTTTTTTCCCTTTATATATATATATATATATATATATATATATATATATAAAACTTTTCAAAGGTTTTTTTTTTGTTAAAAAAAAAAATTTGAGTTTAAATTTGGGGAGAAAAAAAAAAAAAAAAATAAATAAAATTTTTTTTCTTTTCTCTCTTTTTTTTTCTTTCTTACTCGCCTCTACCCCCTAACCTTCCCCGCCCCCCACAATTTTTTACGAAATTCACTCCGAAACGTAACAAGATTTTTTTTTTTTTTTTGGAAAACTAAACTTAAAAAAAAAAATTTCGAGATCACGAAACGAAATGAAAGACATTCGAAAGGGAAGTGGGGGTGAAGGGGGGGGGTAAAAGGAACGAAGAAAGAAAGAAAGAGAGAGAGGAAAACAATTTTTGTTTCTTTTCTCTTCCACCGAAAACACCAAAAAAAAAAAAAAAGAAAATCAAAAAAAAAAAAAATTTTTATAAAAGAAAAGAAAAACTAAACAATGGAAAAAAGGAAACGAATCCGTGTTCGATGACGTTACCGTATATAATTTCCTTTGTATCGATTCCTTTTTTCCTCCCATATTCATCAATATTATTATTATTATTATTATAAATCGTTAAAAAAAAATAAAAGAATGAATTTTACGGTCATGTAAAACGTCAAAATCATTTTTTTTTTAAAAATAAATTTAAACAAAGAGTACAAACGGAAGAAGGGGAGGGAAGAAGGGAACAAAAACAAACAAGAAAAATAATTAAAGGGGGATGATGACGTAATAGGGAGTAAATTTTATAGAGGGGAGGGGAAAAAAAATTCCGCGAGAATAAAAAAAAAAAAAAATTAAATTTTAATTTATTATCGATCATCGATATATCAATTTTTTTGTTTTTTTCGTTTTCATTTCCGTTTTCTTTTTGATTTTTTCCTTTATCAAAAAAAAAAATAATAATAATAATAATTTAAGGCGGTAAAAATCATTTTATATTGACGTATAAAAATAATAATAATAATAATAATTTCAACCGATAATTTTAACCGATATCTAAACTTTTTTGTTTTTTACTGAATTATTCTAGAAAAATCTTTGGAATAACAAATTAAATTAAAAAAAATTTTCCCCCCTCCTTCTTTTTCTCTTTCCCCTTGTCTTTCTTTTTTTTAAAACCGTCTGGAGATGCCAGAAAAATACTGGAACCCGAAGGCTACAAAAAAAAAAAGAGAAAGAAACAAAAAAAAAAAAGTTTTTATTTTTATTTTTAATTCTATGTAAAATAAATAAAATTAAAATTTAATTTAATTTAATAAATAAAATAAATAAATAAATAAATAAAAACTTTGAAAATTTATTTTTATTTTTATTTTCTCTTCCATTTCCGTTTCCGCCTTTTTTTCTTTTATTTAAAAAAAAAAAAAAAAAACAATCGAACCCATTCGATTTCACTTGCATTTAACGCTCTGAATAATTATATTCTTACGTCATATCAATGATTGTCATGTCAATGACGTCATAGGTACGATTCGCACATCTAATTTTTTTTTATTAACCGGATATGGTAAGAAAAAATTATTTTAGAAATCGAAAAAAAAAATATATAATTAGGAAAAATCTTCCGGGGAAAAAATATCCGGGAAATTCTAACCCGTCAAAAAAATTCATCATTATTATTATTATTATTATCAATTTTTTTTTAATATAGATCGTCAAATATGGCGTACACACAAAAATTAATTAGGTTATGCTAAGTCTAGACTATTTTTCCTTCCCCCTCTCCCTTGGAAATCAACGTCACAAACAACAGGAAAGTTTCACGAAATTGAAAATATCATCATTATCATCATCGTCGTCGTCGTCGTCGTCGTCGTCGTCGTCGCTGTCGTTATTATTATTATCATTGCTGTCGGAAAAGGTAAAAAGAAAATTACGATGTTGGAATGAAAACTTACCAAGTACCATTGTTCTTTGAATAAAGGATCCGGAAATAAATTAAGAGGACTGATTCCTCTATATTCCTGATAATGCTGCGGTAAAAATTGCTGATGAATATTCGGTGATGACGTGTAAAATGGAAAACCGCCAAAATTTGAAAAATCAGGTTCTATGTAATCCCTTTTCTTTCTTTTTTTCTCGTGCTGTTGTTGAAACCACAAAACCTAAACGAAAACAAAGAAAAAAAAATTTAAGAAAACCATTACTTATATGCGTTAAGTAGGAGCGGCTATATTCTTCTTATCGAATCGATACGAGTACCGATTTTTTATTTTAATCTTTATTAATAAAAATTTAAAGTTGGGGCGTGGAGGAGTTGAGAAAGGAGGAAGGGGAGGAGTAGGAAATGGAGGAGGAAGGGAAAGGGAGGAGAGGGGGACCAACACGAAGGTATTTTCATAAAAAAAAAAAATGGGGGAAAATTATCTGTCGTCAATCCATCTACTATTTGGAATTTTTTTAATTAAAAAAATTTTTTTAATACACCTTTCTCTCTCTCTTTCTCTCTCCTTCGCGTTTTTCATTACGTTATCTTTCATCCCTTCTTTTTTTTT